AATCTGCTTGGGTTACAGAGAAAAATGAAAATGCGAGTAACCTTCCTTTGCCAACGTACACACTTAAAATAGTGAAAACCCAAACACTTTTTCGTTTTTTGTGGGCTTTGAACGCCAGACTACCACAATGAGCAGCCAGGCCAACCTTTGTTTTACCTCTTTCCCTTTTTATTTATGGTGGATTGCCAGTTGGCTAGGGAGTTTGTATCATAGAGGGAGGAGTTGATACTTTGCAGAAAAAGGGAGAAGTTAAGGGGTACTGACATGATTGGTGAGGCCAAACCTAAAAAACAGTGCTCCTTGAAAGGACCAAATGCAGATTTCAAAGTCATCAAGTAATCTCATAATGTTAGAATAGGTTTCCTGTTCTGAAAGTCTGAAAACACACAAGGAGAATGTAAGAGAAATAGGCTTTTATGGCCTGCAAGACATTTTACTTTTGGTTACATCAGGACAGATCATCATGAGGGTATTCAACTTAAATGAAGCGTCAAAGATGGGGTTCAATCTGATCATTTGTAGGCTGTTCGTGGCTTTGATCATTAATTCTTGTGTTATTATTTGCTTATGAGTTTTTTGGCTATTCTTTGTAGTAGGGGATTCATTATTATTAGTCTCATTTTCTTATTTATGTGGATTAGGATGATAATTCATTGAGGGAGAATCAGTTTTTTGAACTAGAAAAATTTCTGTGGTAGACCTGACCTTAGATGAGAAGATTGAACTTGACGCCTCTTCTATTTTGGTATCTTCTATAGGATATTGTCGTGCATACTAAACCACTCTACCTGCATCTCTGATATCCTCCTCTTTATATTCCTCGGTAAAGAACCATCTGAATGTTTCCCTACCAATAACATTGAAAAATCCCTAGAATTTCAAAATGCCTGAAAGACCATGCTTCGTGATCATCTTATAAACTATAGTGTTGAGGACCACGCTCAATTTTAGGCTATTAGGTGGAGCCATGAATAGTTTTATTATAATATGTATCATGGTTGTTGGAACTCCTCGTGTGTTGTTACGTATGGGCAAAACACAGTTGACTTACCTTCGATTCTTGAAAAATGACCTTTTTAGGGGAATTACTTGTATGCAAAGAGATTCAACAATTCTTATTGCACTATTAGATTCAATGGAGCTTTTTTACTGTATAGATGTGTGGAAGAAGAGCCAGCTATGGTCAATCTTCTCTTGTGTTTCATCTATTAAGTCAATCCTTGCAGAAATAGATAGATAAAGTGGAAAAGGGACGGCAATACAATCCCTGAAAGTTAGGACTGCATAAACTATCATGAAAAAAAAGATTACTAAGACCTTCAGTAGATGTGTCAGGGGGCGGGATGCCCTTGAGAAGGGTAGAACTGCTAGTCAGGATGATTATACCCAAGTTTATAGCTGAAAATGCAAGGGGAAGGTAGAGAAGGAGTATGGTAGGCTTATGTTTCGGTATGGGCCATATTTGGAGTAGCTGGGGGTTCCTTTTTGGCTTGGAAATCCTGCATCTGAAAGGAGAGATCAGATCTGATGTTGTTTTGAAGATTGGAGTGTTAGGAGAGGAGTGACCTCTTAATGTGTTGCTCTTTCATCATTTAGCTGCCTTTGATTTCTCAGTTTGGGTGAATTGTGGTCAATTGGGCTTTGGCTAACTCTGTCTTTGTAATTCGGTGTATTATTTGACAGTGGAATATCAAACCCCAAGTTATCTTATTTGATTTCCTCATATCGTTGCCATTGTCCTGAATTGTGGTTAGGATTGAGTTCTGGGTCCTAACATATTCGCATATCAAGGATCTAGTTTGAGAATGCGGTATTCTCAGCTAGGTGTAAATTTCATCCTAGTACTAATACCACCCTTATCATGAAGACAATCACATTGTGTTAGGGCATATAAACCTCATTATTGGCTTCCAGTTAACACTTCAACGTTGTAGCTAAAAGCAATTTAATTTGAAGTAGAGTCTAGCTTCAGAATTTAATATATGTTCATCATGTTTTGGTTTACATTGATGTAGGGGGAGGAGGAGCATTTGGGCTGTAGAAACTATTCTTAACCGCACATTTAGTTGTAGCATAATCTTCGAGGTTTTAGCTAAACGCAATCCAATTTGAAGTAGAGTCTAGTTTAGCACTTCAAGTTTTTAGCTAAAAGAAGTAGAGTCTAGTTTCAGAATTGAATATTTGTTTATCATGATTTGGTCTGCATTCATGTAAAGGGAGGAGGAGCATTTGGATTGTGGACACTATTCTTAACTGCACGTTTAGTTGTAGCTTAAACTTCCAGATAAAGTTGGTTTTTGACATATCAGGGCTTCCTTTCTGGGTGGAAATTTTTATATTTTGTTCCTACTTTTGGTTCTGATGTGAATTCATGATACCTTGAGCAGGTGGATCTATTGCATGCTGTGTTGTCTGAAAAAGAATATAAAGTGATTTTGGATTGTACATACATGAATTTATCTGAAGAGCCAACGCTTCCTCCTAGCTTTCGTGGTGGAAATTCCATTTCAAAGGATACTATTAGGCTTCTGGTTGATAAGGTTAACATGAACAGTCAACTTTTACTATCACAGACGGTTACAGTTGTTGCTGTTGTGGTCAATCACGCTTTACTAGAGCTGTGTTATGGCACTGACGAGGAATCCCCATTGGCTCATATTGCTGTAAGTTTCATTAAGACATTTGATATTGATAACTTTATACATACTATTTTTAACATGATATTCTGCATTAATATGTTTTATAGCACATCCTTAAGTTTTTCTCTTTAAGCTTGTAGTTATGCTTCCCCAAAGTTAATATTTTTAATTTATAACTCAGAATGATATTTGTTTGTTGCTTTTGCAGCTGGAAGGTCTTTGGGCTTCATATCGCATGACTTCGTTATCTGAAAAAGACCTCTATGTGACAATTCCCAAATTTTCCATTCTCGATGTCCGGCCTCACACAAAGCCTGAAATGCGTCTAATGCTTGGATCATCTTTTGATGCTTCCAAACAAATAGTTCCTGGAAAAATTCCTTTTTCCTTCAATAAAAGTAGTTCTTGGAGGATGAGCGATGAAGCGGGAACTGACATTGATTTGCCTATTTTGACAATGTTCTTGATGGATTACAGATGGCGTGTGTCATCTCAGTCATTTGTAATACGTGTGCAACAACCTCGGGTTCTTGTTGTGCCTGATTTTCTCCTTGCTGTGGCTGAATTTTTTGTGCCTTCTTTGGGGGCATTAACTGGAAGAGAGGAATGCATGGATCCGAAGAATGATCCCATTCGCAAAAACAATAGGATAGTTTTGATGGAACCTGTTTACAAGCAGACAGAAGATGTAGTACACCTCTCTCCATCTAAACAGTTAGTGGCAGATTGCATTGGCATTGATGAATTTATATATGATGGTTGTGGAAAGTGTATCTGTTTGAGTGTTGAAAAAGACGCAAAGGAATTGCGGAGTACAAATTTTCGACCAATTATTTTCATTGGACGTGGAAAGAGACTGCGGTTTGTCAATGTAAAAATTGAGGTAATATGCTTTCCGTTCTATTTGTAATTACGTGATACGTGTATGAGAGATTGGGGAGGTTAATGCTATGAATAGTGAAGAACAATATTTCAATATTGAAGTTTATAGTATTTACATCTAAACATGTCACTGAATGTTATTTGGGTAGCATAGATATGAGATTGATTTCCTGAAAAAGATATTTAAATTTTTTAATTGACTTGTGGATTTCGTTGGTGTGAATCGGAGATGAATTAAAATTTGAGTGAGTAATCTTCCTGCTGTCCATTTTAATATCTTTCTTAATGTTTTATTATGCCCTTGTTGTAGGAATGTCTGCCTGCTATAGCTGGTGTGTGACGAAATATGTACCTCTGCTATTTATTTAATTGAAGCAGACAATTCCTTGCCTCTACTTTGTAGTAATAAGACATCTGTGTTTTAAAACGAAATTATATGTTTTTCCTCTTTTGATTGGGTACTGAAAATAATTTTAGGAGCAGGTGAAGTAATAAACTAGAAGATCGGAGTGCTTTGCTCTTTTAGCTGGTGTTTGGTGCGTTTGGGTGGGGATGAATTCTAGAAATGTTGTTTGTCAATCTCTACTTTCATCTTGTTTTTTCACAGGCTTCTTAGTATGTTTCCTCTCATGGTTTTTTAGGGAGTTCTCTTATCTATTTTGAGGAAAGGTTTTGTTTGCGATGTCTCTACATTTCTTTCAATTCATGATTTATTTCCTTGGTTTGGAGGTCTTACTGCTGATCAAATATTTCATCCTTGACTTAGTTGGCTCTGCCTCTCGTCAAGTAGTGTAACAGGCGCTGGCAAGCAGAAGTGGTTTCCCACGGCTGATTGATAGGGAGATTGCTGATTGTTTTTAAAAACTGATTCTTGGTTCCCTTTATTGTTTTGTGGAATACAGTTGTTTTCTTGGCTTCCGTTCATTTGATTTCATTGCATTTTGTGTTGTTTGCCTTATTGGATCACACAAGGATAGTATTTGTTGCATGAGAAGTGAAAAAATATTATTTCCATTTTTTAACCATTGGAAACTGACGTGTTTATTTCTTATTGATTCTTTAGAATGGTTCTCTTTTAAGGAAGTATACATACCTGAGTAATGATAGCAGCTACTCCGTGTCTGTTGATGATCGTGTCAATATAGTGTTCCTGAATAATTCCTTATCCGGTGACAAGAGCATAGACCAAGATCTTCAATCAGCAGAGAGCTTGAATTCTACATATTCTCAATGCGACTCAAATGAAATTCAGAGTTTCACCTTTGAAACCCAGGTAGCGTAATCTTTCAGTTTCTTAAGAGTTAACATGCGTGGATGTTTGGTGCGTTCAAAAGTTCTGTTGACACTATGATTTCTTGATGTGTGTCCTTAAATACGTTGGAGATGGAAGAGAGATAAACAACCTATATATATCCCGACTCTTGGAAGGACTCCTTATGTTTACTCATAAATATCTATCACTTTGACCTTGTTATCTAACATGTGCCTTGTGGGTTAGCTTCCTAAACCTCCCCTAAGTGATGAAATATGGGATTATGGATAATTGGATTATCTTATGTTATCCTAGGACAATTAGGATTTATTGTTTTATTTGAGTTTAACTTGAATTTCAAATTTATATTATTTCTAAATATTAGATTTTCTTTATTTTAGAATAAAGATAAGACATGTAACATGATCTCTCCCTCCAGGAAAGTTATTTTGTCTTATCTTTTAGGATTTATTAGATTTAGATTAAATTTTATTATTTATGATTTTAATAATTATACCAAGGGCTCTGTAAATTGCCTTGAACTCTCAATTGTGAGACTCTTGGATGATATGGACAACAGTTTAGTTTTATCTCTGTTTTCCTACCTCTCCCTCATTTTATTTATATCTCCCTCCTTTCTTGCGCTCCCCCGCCCCTTCCCCCTCCCTGTATAACATCACCAAGTGAGATTTTTTCAGAGTAGCAGCTTCACCCTCAGATCTCTTTGCATATCTCCAAACCATCTTAAACAATTTTCTATCATTTTCTACTATTCTCTTACGGGCATGGATTTAAGAAATCCCAGGAAAATAAAATCATTACAAAGTCAGTTGCAGGGTAGAAAAACGGCACAGCTAGTATGAGACACCTCATAGCTGCTTAAAACAGAAAACAAGCGGCCTTTTTTTTTTGTGTCATTTTTAAAAACTTCTCCATTTTTTAAAGTAAAAAAAATTGGGTGAGTATTTTGTGTTTAACTGATTTCTTAAACTGTTCTTAGTTTTTTTTTTTTTAACTAGAAAATGGAGACAAATCAGAGTTGTTTTTGTTCTCGTTTTTTCTGGAAAGAATTTAGGTGGAAATATTATTTATAACATTTAAAAGCAAACTAATTGTTTCATTTGACCGTAGAAATTCCTTGAATAAATTACAAATGAGTTTTCAGTTTTTTTCAAAAGGTTTTCAAAATAGATTTTACCAAGCAGCTTTAATTTGTTTCCTTAACTTAAAACTGTTTTTTAATTCATGTCACCAAAAATAATTTTTCCTCATTTTGTTTTGATTTTCTTAAATAATTATTTGCACAACAATTTTTAAGAACAAAAAAGGAAAACACAATCAAGCAATATATTTTACTGTATAATTCGCACATAATTGGTACATGAATTATGGATGAGGGACAGAAGAATGAGGGAAATTTAAAACTTGTACTTGTTATGCTTCTGTTCACTTATGGCTATTTACTGTTGTTGTAAGGTTATATCTCCGGAGTTCACCTTCTATGATGGTACTAAATCTTTTCTGGATGATTCATCATATGGTGAGAAGCTTATTCGTGCGAAGTTGGACTTGAGCTTCATGTAAGTGCTGTCATTTTTCTGCTGTTATCTGTACATATAGTCACGTTAGATTTTTATATGAATAGATTCATATAATCGTTTCTGAACTCTGATCTTTGTCTTAACTCGTGTAATTTATGAATTATATTTTCTTAGGATAGACTAATTTCTCTCGAAGCTACTTGAGGTGAATACAGCTATATCTATGTCTATAACCTTGTCTCCAAATGAAAGTGAATTGGGAATGGGTTCCAGTTCCCACACGGTTGCAAATTTTTCTCGTTTCCTTAATTGGCTTTCTCTTGATCCATATGCAAATAAGTTATCAACATCTTGTGACAATTAAACTAACTATAAATTGAAGATGCAATGTGATTTTCTGAGTGTATTATCAAATCCGAATTCTATGATATATATACAAGTGAGATATAAGCTTAAAACTTTGATTTTAGAGATCTAAGCTTAAAACTTTGATTTTAAGTTCCATATTAAGTTTCTTAAAATCAGACTTAGTTGTGAAAAAAGACTAATCGAGATGGTAGTGCTTATCCAAAATAACACCCTGTATGGTAATTTTAGATGTAACCGAACAGTGATTAGATATTTTATTCTTTATAATTTGTATGTTCCCTAAAGCTGGGAATATTTGTTCATCTATCATAGCACAGTTATCATAAGTGAGTTAACTACATAAAATATGTTTTTCTGGGAATATTTTCGGGATCTCAAGTAGAGCAAATCCATATTGAACATTATCTCTTATCACATGCATCTTATGTTACCGAAGCCCTCCTGTGGATGGATCATTTTGAACATTTTGTAACTTTATTTATTTAAGAAGTTATCCCACTTATTGTGGAGGAATTGGTCATTCCTTATATAGTTCTTGTCAACCTAGATTTGTAATGCAATATCATTGACAAACCTTACTTCAACATACATGGTTCATCTAATTCAGTAATTTAACCAAAACAAATATAGATGGGCACCATCTTGGGATGCCCATACACATTATTCGTGCATGCTTGTTTTTCACTTCAATCTTGACTAACTCTTTCTTTTGTCTCCCTTTTTTATGTGCTTTGATTAAGTGGAAAGAAACATGTAAATGAACTTTTGATTTGACTTTCTTCCCTTATTATGAGCAGCTATGCCTCCAAAGAAAAAGACACTTGGATAAGAGCTCTGGTGAAGGATTTTACTGTTGAGGCTGGTTCTGGTCTTATCATTCTGGATCCAGTGGATATTTCAGGGGGATACACTTCTGCAAAGGACAAAACAAATATTTCATTAATATCAACTGACATATGTCTCCATCTTTCACTTAGTGCAATTTCTCTTATACTCAATCTGCAGAGTCAGGCATCTGCAGCGCTTAACTATGGAAATGCAACTCCCTTGGTTCCATGTACCAACTTTGATCGAATTTGGGTTTCTCAAAAAGGTTTTTTTCCCTCATTTATGTTAAATAGCTTGATGTCATTTCATTGTTCTGCGTTCAATTTGTTAGTCATGGATACCATGTGCCATGTAGCCAAGAACAGGTTCTTGATCCATAACCAACTATTCGATCATCCACTTTTTGCAGGAAACAATATTACATTTTGGAGGCCTCAAGCTCCAACAAATTATGTTGTATTAGGTGATTGTGTGACATCAAGGTATCTGCCATCTTGCCCTATTATTATACTGTCTTTGTTGTTCTTGATCTTAGCATCAATTTATAATCCATGCTGTAGAAAAATTGTTTTATCTGAATCAGTGCTAAAGTTGCATCAGAAACAAAATTATTTAAGTGGACAACTTAAGTTCTGATTACTGCCATTTCCGTGGGTGAAAAAGTTACTTTCTTTTTCTATTTTTGTTCAGGGGTGCTTGATCTCTTATATGATATCTATCGATATATGACTGTTTTTTGTCTAATAGTTCATAAATTATTTGATATGTTAATTAATTGCTATTGTATCATCTTCTCAGGCCAATACCCCCTTCACAGGCAGTAATGGCAGTGAGCAACACATATGGAAGAGTAAGAAAGCCAGTTCGTTTTCTTCTTATTGGTTCATTCACAAATAATCAAGGCCTTGGAGATGAGGGTTACACTGATGCTAGCAGTGATTGCTCTCTGTGGATGCCTGTTGCACCCCCAGGATACACAGCCCTTGGTTGTGTAGCACATTTAGGGAATCAACCGCCACCAAATCATGTTGTTTACTGCCTGCGTTCTGATCTTGTAACATCAACTTTGTATTCGGATTGCTTATTTATTTCTCCTGCCCATGTTGCCTCTCATTTTAGCATCTGGCGTCTTGATAATGTTATTGGGTCCTTCTTTGCCCATTCTTCAACTAGATGTCCTCCTGAAGATAGATGTTATGACCTAAGTCATCTGCTTCTCTGGAGCTCAAATCGGGCTCAGCCTTCTCCATTAGATGCAGTTTCAGATTTCAGTTCTTGTGATAGGGAAAATCAGCAAGCAATTCAAGGTGCAAATACATCTGGATGGGATATTTTGAGGTCCATGTCAAAAGCTACCAATTATATGTCTTCACCTAACTTTGAGAGAATTTGGTGGGACAAAGGTAGTGAGTTTCGTCGTTCGGTCTCGATATGGCGACCTGTTGCACGTCTTGGTTATGCTGTCTTGGGTGATTGCATCACTGAAGGGTGAGACCTATTTATCTTATAAGGCTTGTTTGATGACGTAATGGAGTTTGCCCAGTTCACTTTTTTTTTGCTGGCATTAATATCTTGTCATTTTTAATGCCTCACAGGCTTGAACCTCCTGCTCTGGGAATAATTTTCAAAAATGACAATCCTGATGTCTCTGCCAAACCTGTTCAGTTTACTAAAGTTGCGCATATCGTGGGGAAAGGAATCGAGGAAATTTTCTTCTGGTACCCTATAGCTCCTCCTGGTTATGTTTCTCTCGGATGTGTTGTCTCCAAGACAGATGAACCGCCATGTGCTGATCTGTTTTGCTGCCCAAGGATGGATCTTGTTAGCCAAGCAAACATCCATGAGGTTCCACTCTCAAGATCTTCAAGTTCAAGGGCACCCCATTGCTGGAGCATTTGGAAAGTAGAAAACCAGGTTAATGATAGCTTGCACTGCTCTAAAATAGCTCAAAAATTTTATCTAAAGTTTTTAAATGTTTTTTTTTTTAAAAAAAAAAAGATAAATGGTTTCATTGTTGTGATGTAAAGAACCCCCCCCCCCAAAAAAAAAAAAAAACCCACCCAGGCTAGGCGCATCCGTGCATGTTGATCTGATCTACATGCTCTGAGAGTTTATGTAATGCTTTTGTTGCATTTATCTCAAGAACGGTGTGTATTCCACTATCTCTGCAGGCTTGCACCTTCTTGGCTCGATCTGATCTCAAAAAGCCGTCAAGCCGATTAGCCTACATAATTGGTGACCCAATTAAGCCCAAGACGCAAGAAAACATAACTGCTGATGTGAGGCTAAGATTCTTGTCTCTGACAATTTTGGACAGCATATATGGAATGGCAGTACGTATCCTGTGCCTAGCCACCTGAAAACAATACTGATTTGTCTCAGTTTTATGATACCATTGAAAAATTGGACTATCATTTCAGATGACACCGCTGTTTGACACAACCATTACGAACTTAAAGCTTGCAACACAAGGTCGCCTAGAATCCATGAATGCAGTACTGATTTCTTCGATTGCTGCATCAACCTTCAATGCACAATTAGAGGCATGGGAGCCACTTGTGGAGCCATTTGATGGAATATTCAAGTAAGCCAGGATTTTTTTTTTTAAATTAATTGGACGTAAAATTATAGATCTGTAATAATTGTCTGATTTCTTTCTCCTATATTTATTTTGAGCTATCCTTTCCGGAATATGGAACCCAATTAAATACTCTTTCAAAATTGTTTAGGTTTGAAACTTATCATTCAAACGTAAACTTGCCATCTGGACTTGCAAAGAGAATTCGCATTGCTGCTACCAATATTCTGAATGTGAATATTAGTGCAGCAAATCTTGAGTCCTTTGTGGGATGCATTCTCTCATGGAGAAGACAGTTAGAGCTTGAACAGAAAGCATCTAAGCTAAAAGAGGTCAAATACTTACAACTTTTTATCCTTGTACCCTTTGAATTATGTGCTTGTGTAAAGCCTTACAAGCTCATTGGTTATGCAGGAGGCTGGTAATCTGCAAAGAAATGGGGGTGATGCAACTTTTTCTGCACTGGATGAGGATGATTTACAGACGGTTGTAGTAGAGAATAAACTTGGGTGTGATATCTATGTGAAAAAAGTTGAGCAAGATGTAGATATGGTCGACAAACTACATCATGGTGATTGTGCTTCTGTGTGGATTCCACCTCCAAGGTTTTCAGATAGGTTAAATGTTTCAGATGAATCAAGAGAGGCACGTTGTTATATTGCTGTTAAGATACTTGAGGCCAAGGTGATAAGCATTGAAATGATTTATCAAGTATTTTAATCACGATTCTCATCACCTGAAAAAATGAAATCAATTTGTTCAAATTTTGTTAGGGTTTACTTCTCATTGATGATGGAAACAGCCATAACTTCTTCTGTGCTTTGCGCCTTGTCGTGGATACCCAGGCAACTGAACAGCAAAAGTTGTTTCCCCAGAGTGCTAGAACTAAATGTGTGAAACCTACAGTTTCGGGAATTAAAGATCAGGTTGAAGGCACAGTAAAGTGGAATGAGCTCTTTATATTCGAAGTTCCTCGAAAGGTATTATGTGGATTATTTGACCCTGAAATGATCAGTTTTATGTTTGATAACTGAAAGAAACTTTAAAGATAATCTTGGACCAAAACAGTGCTCTAAATTCTAAACATTTGGGGCCTGTTTCTTGGGGCTTTTCTCATGAAAAAATCGCCTATTGTTTGAAAAAGAAAAATCACTTTTGAGAAATTTCAAAATGCTTAAGCTTTTAGAAGTAATCAGAATCTGAGAAAAATTAACCAGAAAAAGAAAAAAGCAGATTTCTGATTATTTTGAAGGTTACTTTGACTCTGAGTACTTTTGAAAATCAAATGTGATAGAAGAGAAAAATATTCATACGAATACATAGATATGCTACGATATCATAAACTTAAAAATCATGAAATAATAAATCATTTTTATGATTGGAGCCAAATGCAAAGTAATTTATGCTTTTTATAAAATCTCTGCACAATAAATCACGTTTCATAAAATTTCCAGACTATCTAAAAATCACTTATTTCTTAAGCTTAAACAAACAGGACTGATTTAAGAATTGCTTGCAAAAGTAGCTGTTGTAATTCTTGTTTATTGATAATTCATAAGGGAAATTTTTTTCATAGGATTTCCTAAAATCTAAATTTCATGTCCGAAGTTTAAATTTATTCTGAGTTACTGTTTATCTGGCATCTGTTACATTACTGTGGAGTTTGCTACCCATGACATTTCATTGACTAATTAATTTGGTTCAGGCCCCTGCTAAGATGGAAATAGAGGTCACAAATCTGGCTGCTAAAGCTGGAAAAGGTACATTACGGCCCCCCTCCAGAGCGACACTATTTAATTCAAGTTGAAGACACATGGATCTAGTTTCTCATTGATCAATCTACTTTCTTCCAACTTCCTCATTTCTATTTAAAGCTTATTACATAACTGTTAGTAAGGGAACAGTAAAATATCTTCTATTTTATGCATCTATGTTTTAACTAAGCATCTGAAATCCCCCCCCCCCTCTTGCTTGAATATGGAGAGTTCATTAATTCTTCAGATAAAATAGATATATACATCTTGAAAAAAAATCTAAGCAAACGCATTATTGAAATGATTCAAAAATATTGCTAATCCTGTCCCAGTGCTGCTGGACAGCAATCTGGAGATGGGAGTGTTGTTCGTTTTATGACTTTTTAACATTATTCATGGAGAAGACATTAAGAGGACACACTTAACTACATTATTTAGCAACATTTTAATGGTAGTTTTGTTATTTAGTATCTCTTTTAATATTATATTTTATTTAGGGAGAATTACAATCAGATCCTAAGGAAGGAATTTAATTACCCTAAAGTCTATCAACAAGTGAAGAGTAAGCAATGACAAGTTCTAGGTAGAAAATGACAACATGTTTAGGCTGGTCACTTGTCGTTGGGACTTTTTTGGCAATTGAATTTCTTTTTTGGGACCTCTTGGTAATTCTTCCTTTTATTTAATCTAGAAGATGTTCTTTTATTTGGCTTTTTATAATTATTATTTCATCATTCAGGTGAAGTTGTGAGTTCCCTGTCTTTTCCTGTCGGACATGATACAAATATGTTAAGGAAGGCCGCTTCTATGAAAATGGTTCATCATCCGTATGATGCTCAGAATATAACATCATATCCGCTCAGGAGAATGGTCAGTTGCTATGTTTCACATCATTTTTGTGGTGTTTGCCCTCTACATAGATAATTGGAATTCTGTTGCTAATCCATCGTTCATGGTTTTAGGTTCAACAAAACAATGTTGAAGACTTCCAGAATGGAAGCCTCTTTGTCTCAACATCTTCTGTTGAAAGAAATACAATTGCAAATCTTCAAAAAGATGCAATAAGTGAGAACGATGCTGATAGAGACACAGGATTTTGGGTAGGGCTTGGCCCTGAGGGTGAATGGAAAAGTGTACGGTCATTGCTTCCACTTTCTGTGGTTCCTAAATCCTTAGAAAATGAATTCTTTGCCATGGAAGTCGTCATGAAAAATGGCAAGAAACATGCTATATTCCGCAGTCTTGTTACAGTAGTGAATGATTCGGATGTTGCATTGAACATATCTACATGCCACTCATCTTTGAGTCTTGGAACTGATTACTCACGTGGTGTTAGCAGTAATATTAGTGCTGTTGAAGAGGTCTTTCAGAATCAGTATTATCACCCTACGTCTGGTTGGGGTAACAAATGGCCAACTCACCTTGGAAATGTTGGCCTCTGGAGTACAAGAGACTTCTCTCACACATCAAAGGTTGTATGTTTTTTCAAATTCTTAAATTACTTGAATTTCTATGGCTGCTATTATCATGTTTCTAATATTTTTCATTCTTGTCATTTTGAAGGACTTCTTTGAACCACCACTCCCTCCAGGGTGGAAATGGATGTCAGGGTGGACCATTGATAAAAGTCCATTTGTTGATAATGATGGCTGGACATATGGGTCTGACCTTGTATCCTTAAAGTGGCCTCCCACTTCCAAATTTTCAGCAAGAACAGCCTCTGATGTTATGCGTAGAAGGCGATGGGTTCGTTCGAGAAAAAATCTCTCTGCACAAGGAGTAGAGTCCATGCAGAGTGAAGCCACTATTGTGAATCCTGGTGCTGCTTCTGTTTTGTGTTGGCAAAGCACAACCAAAGGCTCTGATGAATGTTTACAAGTTCGACCTAGATTAGATGATCCTCAGTTTTTATATTCATGGGGCCATACAGTAGCTGTTGCTTCAAGTTCTATGTTTGGCAAAGACCAGCTCCTACTAAATGAAAGTTCTAAACAGAATTCTTTGATGCCCAACTGCTCCTTGAAACTAAATCAGCTTGAAAAAAAGGATGTACTTTTGTGCTGTTCTCCTAGTGGTGGAAATAAGTTGTTTTGGCTTAGCGTAGGAACAGATGCCTCAGTTCTTAATACCGAACTAAATGCACCAATATATGACTGGAAAATATCCGTCAATTCTCCTATGAAGTTGGAAAACCGGCTTCCCTGTCCTGCTGAGTTTAAAGTATGGGAAAAACCAAAGGAGGGAAAATTCATTGAGCGGCATCACAGTGTCATATCCTCTCGCCAAAGTGCACATATCTATTCAGCAGATATCCAGAGACCCTTGTATCTTACTCTGTCTGTGCAGGGAGGTTGGCTTATGGAAAAGGTGATGATTCAGCATTTATCTGCATATAGTTAAAACATGTGTTTAAGAAATATATATCTGGATTAATTGTGTTTGTATCTGGGGCTGATTCTCTTTTCTTGCTTGATTCAGGACCCTGTTCTTGTACTGGATCCTTCTTTTACCAACCACGTCGCATCGTTCTGGATGATTCACCAGCAAAGTAGAAGGTTTGTGATTAAATTTGAAAATGAAAAAAAAAAAATGAAATGTCAAATCAAGTTACCTTTCTGGAGAATGAATCGAGTTTGTTCGCAGAGGAGTGCAATACAAATAAGGAATGGATAGCAACATTTCTGCTTCTCAATCCCAATGATTAAGCAAGAAAATAATACAAAATATAGATTTTAATAAATCTGGGACAGAAAGTAAACAAAATATTTACAAAGATAAAAAAGGAAAATTAATGAAGGCGTATTAAATGAATATTATAATTAACATCTGGCCAATAGTCCTCACTATCTAGCTGAAGAACATTGGTTCCTGTAGTTGTGATACCATTCTGTCATGGACCAATGGTTTCTGAAAGCTCAATCTATTGAGAGAAACTCAAGAATGGTTGTATTAAAGCCTCTTATCACACCATCTCACATTAAAACCCTTTGAAATTGAAACTCTAGCCAGGCTTACCCCAGAATTCCTACCATTGAATTTTAATGTAATCACAAGATCGGGTGTGACATGCATGAGCATATATTCTATTGTTCAACATATTGGGGTTCCATCACCTATTACTGATCCTAATGTTGTTACTGTTAAAACTGATTTCTCATAGCATGTATTATGTAGTAGTGAAATATAATATCCTTTCAAAATGTATTTGATACGTATTTGTGTTGGCATTGATCAAAAAGTCAGCAGGGAGGTGTGGCAGATTTTTATTCATGCTATTTCTTAGTCTGATTTTTATTGCTGATGCTCATACCCAAGCTGTAAATTTATATGGTAGACTGTAGCTTCAGCACATGTAGAATCTTTGTTTTAGCATCAATCAACTCCTTAATCATCATATTGGCAGGAAATTGCGTGTGAGCATTGAATACGATATGGGTGCGACAAGTGTTGCCCCAAAGACTTTAAGGCTTTTTGTTCCCTATTGGATTGTCAATGAGTCATCTTTGGCTTTGGCATATCGTGTGGTGGAAGTAGAACCTTTGGAAAATACAGACATGGATTCTGTTTTACTCTCTAGGGCAGTGAAGTCTGCCAAAACAGCCTTGAAAAATCCTTTAAGTTCAATGGATAAAAGGCACTCTATTTCAAGGAGAAACCTTCAGGTACTTGAAGATATTGAAGACAGCAGCCCATTTCCTAGCATGCTTTCACCGCAAGATGATGCTGTTCGAAGTGGACTTACAGTCTTTCAATCTCAAAAAGATACTAGCCTGTCACCTCGGGTGGGCATTGCAGTTGCCATGAACCAGTCTGAAGTGTATAGCCCTGGGATTTCTCTCCTTGAGCTGGAAAACAAGGTGAGGGTGACACAAATGAACGATGCGATATATGATTACCATGTTTTTATTGGTGTTTAATATATGCTCATTTCTTATTCTTTTTTATTAAAATTCATTGGAATTTCTCAAGTTCATTTCATAGTGATGTTTCCTGAAACTTAATTTTGATAGGAGCGTATTGATGTCAAGGCTTTCGATTCAGATGGATCTTACTGCAAACTTTCAGCATTATTGAACATGACTTCTGACAGAACAAAGGTCGGAGAGCCTGTATTCTTACTTTTTCAGTTTTTTTGTTGGAGATTATCGGTTAGAACATTCCTAAGCCATTTCTTAAGGGTTAAGCTTTTCAAAATAAATTTGTTCAAGATACATTGAAGTCTTAAATAATGAGCCAAGAATTCAATCCTTGTTTTATTTTTCGTGGTCCACTTTATCACATGGCTATTACTTAATTCACTCCGATATGCTACTCATCTAGAAATATAACTGATATGCACTATATATGTAAGCTTTCATCATTGAATAAAGTTTAAGGACTTGAGACCCTAATTGCTCAGATGTTCATCAAAATTTGTCTGCGGAATTGGATTTTCTTGAGAAAGCTAAACAATGTCAGTTTGTTTGATGTCCAGGTGGTTCATTTCCAGCCACACACGCTGTTTATTAATAGGGCTGGATGTAGTCTATGCCTGCAGCAATGTAGTTCTGAGGCATCCATGTGGATTCATCCTACTGATTCTCCAAAATCCTTTTTGTGGCAGTCATCTGCCAAAGTGGAATTGTTGAAGGTGTGTTAATTTTTGTTATTGTATGTTAGCTTGATATGCATATGGCGTCTTATATATACCTTATGATGGACCGTATATTCTTTCAGCTGTGCATGGAAGGATACCAATGGAGTGCACCATTTAGTGTGGACAATGAAGGTGAGATGCGCATTAACTTGAAAAAAAAAGTTGGAGATGGCCAAATGCAATTAAGAGTACTAGTAAGAAGTGGTGCCAAGCGGTCACGTTCTGAAGTTATATTTCGTCCAAATTCATTATCAAGTCCCTACAGGTTCTTGTTCTCTCAATTTCCTTATCACAATGTTCCTTCCATTTTTTTTTTGGTTTTACTACCTTGACATTGGATATGAAAAGAAAATGAAAAATTCCGTACTTTTTTGATTCAAGCTCGTGGAGTTATTCTTTCTGGAAAAAACCTCATACCTGCATCAAATCCGTGTCATTTCCAACCCCCTTCCCCCAAGAAAGGAAAGGCAATCACCTCTCTGGATTTAACTTGTCTGAATGTTTCCTCGTTAATCCTCAAAGCAGAGATGGAATATCATCAGACTCTTTATGCTGTCACATGACGTACTCTGTTAAACACTAATAATAGGGAATGAGGGAGAAAGAGAGGGAAATTGGGCGGAACAGAGGGAAAACAAGAGAAACAGAGGGAGAGAGGGAGATGAAAGAGAAAGAGAGAGCAGGGCAATGCACTAATTCATATTCAAATTGACCATAATCTGAGTTACAAGGTGGTGTTTACATCTGTTTATAGGCAGTACAATGATTCTGTTAGATAATAATCAACTGCCTCCTATAACTACCCTTTATTCTGTTAGATAATCATCATCATCATCATCATCCCATTAGCATCCCATCACCACCACCATCACGATCATCACTCCTTGGAAAAATGAGGAAACCTTGTTAGGTGTCTAATCATGAAAAGGAAATAGTTACAAAATGTTTAAATCCTGAAGAGTTGACGGAGGATGTTTTCTGCTTTTTCTAGTTTTAAGGATGCTGTTATCAATGACTATTTGTTTCATTTGTCTTGGATATTTTGACTTCTGGCAGCAACAATCCTTAAATTTTGTGGTCTGGTGACCGGATTTCACAGTATCAATTCAATGTTGGTTATTGCGTTTCGTGTTTCTTGATTTGATCTCATCTTAAATGTCCATCATTTATTTATATTATCTTGATTTTGTGAGGATCCCATGGCTGACCTGTAGCCATGGCCTCTGTTAAAATCTGTTCTGCCGTTTGAATGGAATTCGAGAAGAATTCTGGCAATTTTCTTCTATTTTCCTTCATGCCTTATTTGTTAACTCATACAAATTGAAGTGTTAGACGCACACATTTTAACAATGGGAGAAGTTAGTTTTCTGTCTCTCATCACTTCTACTTATTCTCATAATGATCTGTATTTGGCTATCATTTGTCATCTGTCTTACCATTATAAATGTTCATAGACTTTATACTTCGTATGCTAATTAACTTTTGACCCACAGGATTGAGAATCATTCGATGTTCTTGCCCATTTGCTTTCGTCAAGTTGATGGTACCAGTGATTCTTGGCAGCTGCTTCTTCCAAATGCTGCTGCTTCGTTTCTGTGGGAAGATGTTGGGAGAAGACGTTTGTTGGAGCTCTTAGTAGATGGAACTGACACATTGAAATCACTGAAGTATGATATTGATCAAATTTCTGATAATCAGCCTATCCATGTAACTGATGAATTGAACAGAGCCTTGTGTGTTACCATTGTAAAGGAAGAGAAAATCAGTGTTGTCAAGATCAGTGATTGGATGCCAGAAACTGAACCTACAGGGGTTCTGAGTGGAAAATCTTTGTCATCAATGTCTCAGATCTATAAAAGTGATTCTCAGAAGCAACAATCCCTGTCTGTTGCAGATTGTGAATTCCACATATTTTTTGAGCTTGCTGAGCTTGGAATATCTGTTATTGATCATACACCCGAGGAAATATTATACCTATCTATTCAGAATCTCGTTCTAGCATATTCAACTGGTCTGGGCTCTGGAATCAATAGGTAGGATTTTTGCGTTTAGTTTATTATTGTACGTCCTAGAAGCTGATTATTTGTCTTGCGCGGGGATATCTGGTGAAAATACTGTTCAAACCCACTCATCAATCAATATGACTAAGACGCTCGCTTTGGAATCATAGTTTCAAGATCTAAGAATTATTCCTTTTTGTAATAGTTGTCCATAGATACTCAATATTGAATATGCAATTTGTGTTTTCTTGTGTTTCAGGTTTAAACTCAGAATGCGTGGCTTACAGGTGGACAACCAGCTGCCATTAACTCCAATGCCAGTTCTCTTCCGTCCACAAAGACTAGTGGCAGAATCTGACTATATCCTAAAATTCTCCATGACAATGCAGTCAAATGGATCGCTGGATCTCTGTGTCTATCCATATATTGGTCTTCATGTGAGTGACCTTAAAATTCCAAGTCTTACCCTGTAAAAAGCATGTCAATATTTTGTTAATGAATGATGAGACTTTGATTTTAACCCCCCAAAAAGAGATTCATGAGAGTTTGATTCGTTTCATATCATGCTTATCTGTTGACTGGTTCCTGGTAAGCAGGGCCTGGAGAATTCGGCTTCCTTTTTGATAAACATTCATGAACCTATTATTTGGCGCCTTCATGAAATGATCCAGCAGGTGAAGCTCAGTAGGCTGTATGATTCTCAAACCACGGCTGCTTCAGTTGATCCGATAATTCAAATTGGGTATGCAAAAGTTTTATTTTCTCGGGGATTTGTGGTTGTGTTTATCTCTTTGAAATTTGACATGATAGAAGTTGGAATTTCAGTGTGCTCAATATCTCAGAAGTTCGGTTAAAGGTGTCTATGGCTATGTCACCCAGTCAAAGGCCAAGGGGTGTGCTTGGGTTCTGGGCATCTTTAATGACTGCTCTGGGGAACACAGAAAATATGTCTGTAAGTATTTAATTGCTTTCCAGAAGTTTCGTTGATTTGAAGAATTGGCTGCTCTGCTAGTAGAGTAGTAGTCTGATGTCAAGCCATGTTTTGATACCCGCAAAAAAACGGGGGTCATTCCGTCAATACCTCAAAAAGTTTTCATCATATTTCTTTCTGAATTCTGGTTGCACTACAAGGAACTATTTTCTTAGTTTGCTTAACCACTTTGCATGGAGGAACCCTGGTTTAGAGGGGTTCGCCATTTGCCTTCCTCACTCCAAGGGAGATTAGTCTCTTGCTACCAACAAAGGAAACTCCTGTCCCACCAAAAATTCTTAACCTGGCTAAATGATCATAATCCTTTTATGATTCCATGAGTAACAGCTTGTTTGATCAAGAAACAATAGGAAAATATCAAAATAATTCAATACTTTATTGCCCCTTATCTTCAGTTTAGCCTCTGCATATATACTTAGAAATGCTGAGGATTCTAAGAAAACAAATCTTGGGATGCTATGCCTTCTTTTCATTCTGTCTTAAATTTGAGGGAGAGACTAATACAATAGTGCTAATCCAATCAAATATCTACTCCTTAATCAGGTCAGGATTAATCCAAAGTTTCATGAGAACGTGTGCATGAGGCAGAGTTCTATGATTAGCATGGCTATCTCAAATATCCGGAAGGATCTTCTGGGGCAACCACTTCAGCTTCTGTCAGGTGTTGATATCTTGGGTAATGCAAGCAGTGCACTTGGACATATGAGTAAAGGTGTGGCTGCACTATCAATGGACAAGAAGTTTATCCAAAGTCGTCAGAGACAGGTTTGTTTAAAGATTGTCCTCCTTATTCTGCAGTGATATTTCCTGGATTTTCTCATTAATCTGATAGATATTATTCATAGAACCCTAACCTTTAAATAAATACATTACACCTATAAGCTAGCTCGCGTCCTTTTTAAAATGCATTTTCAGTGTCGGTGTGGGAACATCCTGTGTTTATGGCTGCTGTAATCATTGCAGTTATTGAGTAACCCCTCCTTTTAGGGATTGATTTGTTGTAATCTTCTGATTTTAGGCAGTCTATTGTAATCTCCTAACTTCTAGGTATTTTTTTCCCCTTTATTTGGTAGTTTCCCAGTATAGCTGCTCTTGGCCGTGTAGAGACCGGATTTGGCTTCTCTCCTCTACGCTTCCCATCCACTTCCCCTCCACTACTCATCTTGATTGTTGGATTGAAGTTTGAGCAGTCCGATTTAAAGTTTTCCAAAATTACTAATAAAATGTCAAATTATTAAAAAAAATAAACAAACAATTTCAAACTGCTAAACTTTATTCATAATAGTTTAAAATTGCAATAAAAAATATTTTAAAAAATTTAAAAACATTAAATCTGAACCATTAAATTTCAATGTAACTGTCAAGATGGCTAGCGGAGGGGAAGTGGATGAAAATGGCGGAAGAGAGAAGCCAAGTTCATAGATACCCGGGTAATACACTTCCATCAGTATAATACAATCCTCTTTTTGTCAGGTGGAAATGGTTCAGCCATTGAACAATTTGATAAACCAACAATCATTTTGCATGGTAGTCACTTTTTAATTATAGTAATCCTGCCTCATGATACCCCTTTAAAAATGGAAAGAGACAGTGATGGATATCAGAATCTATTTTCATTGCTCGGTACTCTTTTGTGTCTATGTGTGTGTGTGTGAGAGAGAGAGAGTATTTTATATTTTCATATTATAATAACCTTAAATTTGGGAAAAATAATATATATCTAATTTGAACCCCAATGATTGCATGAATTATGAATAAGATAGAGTCAAGTTCCCATACTCGAATGGTGCATGATGAGCGTCCTGTAAAAGAAAATTGTTAAATAAACTGATTGACACAAAAGATTACCATACTGTATCAAGAAAAGGTCTTAGAATGGTTCTTTTAATTAAAATTTAACACTTCACCTCATGTTGAAAGAAACTGGACTGTTCGTTTGTGGCCAACATACAACTGCTGGGGTGGAGAACTTTACTTTAGCCACTTATCTTAAAAGTTGAGGTTTTTGAGCTTCAGCATGGGAGTAGTTCATAGTCATAACATAAACTGATTCATGTGATTTGCTTGCCATAGCCGGTGCTGGTGACTTTTTTAATTACTGATTTTTCTTATGACGTGTTTTACTTTTATAGGATCTTGATACATATGTTCCATTTGACAGGAAACCAAAGGTGTGGGGGATTTCGGTGATGTCATCAGAGACGGAGGTGGGGCATTAGCTAAAGGTTTATTCAGAGGAGTAACTGGCATATTAACAAAGCCTCTTGAAGGCGCTAAAACTTCTGGTGTTGAAGGTTTTGTTCAAGGCGTTGGGAAGGGAATTATTGGTGCAGCTGCACAGCCAGTGAGTGGAGTTTTGGATCTTCTGTCAAAAACAACCGAAGGTGCCAATGCTATGAGAATGAAAATTGCAGCTGCTATCACATCTGATGAACAGCTTCTCCGGAGGAGACTGCCTCGGGTAATAAGTGGTGATAATTTGCTTCAACTATATGATGAGTACAAAGCTCAAGGACAGGTATCAGTCGCTCAGTTTGCAATAGATCACAGATGTAAAGTGATTTTATTGTGTAGACATGAATTTGTAGATATTGAGGTGACAGTGGTATGGATTAAAACTAAATCAAGATATCAAATGAATCCTGACACTTGTTTGAATCCAACTTTATGATGGTTCGCTTCCCCCCCCCCCCCTCCCAGTAGTGATAGGAATGTTTTGCTTGCATATATCACTTCTAAAATGTACAAATTATTTCACTAATGTTAAGCAAACTGGCTGAAGGTTCAGCTTCTGTCAGATTATGTCACTGAGGATCCGGCTGAAGACTAGAACTTGTTAAGTTGTTATTCATTAGAGAATCTGGTTCAATCCCTCTTTTTGCCCGGTTAACTGGCCATTGCTGATGTGGGTTCAGACTGCAGAACAGAAAATCAACCATTGCATTTTTATCAGCCTTTGAAATTTATACCCATGCACTTTTTATCACGTTCTAACACCCCATTACCTTACTTGTTCCCTCAGAATCAGAAGTGAACAAACCCTGTTCTATTGGGACGAGGCCCATGAAGGCTTATGACCAAAAGAATGAGGAGAGAGTGTGAGAGAAAGGAGGGACTGTTGTCAATTGTAATGATTAGTTCCAGCCTAACTACCTCAGTGCAAGGATTGCAAGGGTGTGGGGATTAGAGAAAGTTGTTGGGTAGTATTCAAGATGAAGAGCAGAGAGGAGAAGGCAAGAAGAAAATTAGTAAATTTCTGTGTAGAGTTTTTGGGCTCCAAATGCTAGGGAATGTTTTGTTCTTTCTTCTTTCTATTGTGAGTACTGGTTTTTGGACATTCTTACATTAATTAATACAAGTGTCAGAATTATCCATCAGAAGTTTGCTGATTTTATCACAATTACCATAAAATTTAGTCAAGACGGCCATAATTTTCTTACTTGACCACCTGTTATACTTAGATCTCAGATACTGGATCCCATAACATATATCTCAAGCAGCCCGTTAGTGAACTTGCATCCATGGATGGCCATTCCAATGAAACGTTTTTCTGTATAAATTTCTCTTTGCATTAATGCAATTATCTCTAGCTTGCCTGATGTAATTTCTTCCTGTGGACTCTTGCATGTTTTTGCATTCTTTTAAGGTTTATTCATTTTTATAGATGATGACTATCGTCATATTTTTGTTTTGAAGGTTATATTGCAGCTTGCAGAATCAGGTTCATTTTTTGGTCAGGTTGATCTTTTCAGAGTTCGTGGAAAGTTTGCGCTATCGGATGCCTATGAAGACCACTTTCTGCTTCCAAAAGGGAAAATCCTTATGGTCACTCATCGGAGAGTCATACTATTGCAAGTAAGTATTCATTATTGAGAATGACGGATAATGAGTCATATTCTCCTGTGCGCTGTTACTGAGGAAACTTTTTGTCAATATCAGCAACCTTCCAATATTATTGGTCAGAGGAAGTTCAGCCCTGCAAAGGATCCTTGCTCGATATTGTGGGATGTACTCTGGGATGACCTCGGGACAATGGAATTGACAAATGGAAAGAAAGACAGCCCAAAAGCTCCCCCTTCACGGCTCATTTTATATTTGAATTCATCATTGGATTCGAAAGAAAATATTCGCACTATAAAATGTCATAGTGAATCCAAGCAAGCTCTTGAAGTTTATCTTGCAATCGAACATGCAATGAACACTTATGGCCCAAATTCGTCAAAGGTACCATCTTGTATTTTGCCTTATTATTCATTTGTACAATATCTAGTTATTATTTGCAACCAAAAAATAAATGACAAACTTCATTTAGAACTCCATGTCATGCAGCTTTCAGTGAAGATGGATATTTCCTTTCTGAAACTCTATTCAGTTTAAGAATAAATAGTATTTGCTCTGTTCTACTCCTGTTCTTTACTTTTTATTTTCTTTTCTACCTTTTTAAAGTGACCTTTTAATGGTGGATTCCTTGGTGCACAATAAAGAATCAAGTGCGTCTATGTGATTAATGACATTTTTGCACAACTCTATAACATGCTGCAACATTTGATTGACGACGGTTTTGTAATTTGCTGGTAATATACTTCACTATTGTATTGGCCCTTGGCTACTAACGGTGACAATGTCATTACCACCATCATAAGTAGAGAAGATGTTGTGATAGTTTTAACAAGGTAATTAGGTAAATAGAAAGTAGTGGTCTATAAATGGGGTACGGGAAGTTGTATTGAGGTTGTTGATTGAATGCATATCTTTACTCTATTCGCTCTCTCTCTTTTTACCTCTAATTCTGTTTACCTCTAACAGCACCGGTGCTCTGTAACGAAACCTTGTTAAATATGTTTTCGAGTCTACCTGGTTATGGCCTAACGGTATGATAACTTCCTTATTGCAGGGAGTAGTTAAAAAAATAGTGGCAAAGCCATATTCCCCATGTACTGACAGCCCCAGTGGTGATTTCGTACCTAAAGACGGGGTTTGCTCCATGTCCCCTCAAATGATGCCTGGGTCAGTTCTCCTTGCTTCAACTTTCGGAAGCTGTACTAAGCAGTTGGAGTGAGTGTTCATTGGACATCAATCGCCATATCAACAACTGCTCCGTTTGATCCTCAATCCAGGCCCACTTGCCTCCAGTCCGAAAGGTACCGTTGTATCTTACTTTCCTCACAAGTTCTTATTCCTTCTTATTTCTTCTTATCTTGGGGCTGAGGAAACTGGGTGGTAGAAACTTGGAACAAATTACGATTTAACCCGCTGCCGTTTTTCTCCAAAGATATTGCTACGGCAACACTCCCTAATGTCTTGGTTATAATGTTTACAGAACATTTTCGTCAAAGAAACCTCAGGTGATAATTGAACACGGGAGTATGTTCTAATAAGTAATAACGTACTGCTTTTAAACTTGACGAAATTTACGCAGCTGTACATATCTCCGTTTGAACGATGAAATGGATATGATCAATCACTTGGGACAAGTAGATTACTTTGGAAGCACTCTTAGGCATGGGAATTGTAGATGTTTCACCTTTTGAGATGCACGACATTTTGTTATGTAAAGCATATCTGTTATCAATGTTTTCACATTTTTAGTCGTTAACCATTTGCAAATGTCTTAACATGTTCATACAATTCTGTTGGGAGGATTATAATGATATTAGTATTTTAATCTCTGGATTCGTGTTTCTAATTGATAATTAATTACAGGTCGGGCTGAGCAAACTAGTTCGAACTTGCTAATGGGCATATTTGATATCCTGAGACGGGGAAATCCATTAAAAGGCCGTTTCCTTTACGACCTTACATTAATTTGGTATCCCCCAATTTTTTCCCGCCACCTATCTTCTGCGATTAATAGATTTTACTGTCTAAGCATTCTTTTTATGTACACCAATTGTTCTGGTGTGCGTGTGTGTGTGTGTGTGTGTATATATATATGGTTATCAAAATCATTTCACTTTGTACATATACAATATCACAGCGAGATGGACGCTATTTATATAATTGTCCTTCTCTATTGATTTTTATTATTGATACTGTAGAGAGAGGCGATGTTATTATGCTCGAGTTCTGTTATTGTGTAGTGCGAATTAAATGATCACCACTAAGTTTTCTTCTGTTTCCGCTGTCTTGAGAATATGGAATTGCGCGTTTCGAATGGCTATAATAAAGTATGCGGACAATAATCTCTTTTAATCACTGCTTCATACGACTAAAAGATCCGCGGAATCCGACTAATGATTAACTCATATATCGTTGATGTTAATGAAAAGATAACTTTGAAAATATACAATTATAACTTCAACAATGTTTGATTTCTTCCGTTAAAAAGGGGTCTAATTTAAAGTTATCATAATAAATATAGTTCGGAAGTTGATTTCTTCTAGTCCACATGCTCTCGAAATTAAATAATTTGCTGTTATAATGAATGACAATTGTATAAATATAATTACTTTTCTAAGCTTAGAAAAATTCCAATTTATTTATTGTTTTATGTTTGGATATAATGTTTTAGAGGTGATTGTGGTGACATGTAAAAGTTGCTTTTGTGGAGATAACAGTGTTTTAGAAAGGGAGGTTAAGTGAAGCCAATTTAGGGTGTGTTTGGGTGACACCCCAAACCATGGTTTGGGGACCCAAACCATGGTTTGGGGAATAATTTACCCAAACACCCCCTCCAAAATCCAAAACCATGGTTTTGACTCTAAAACCATGGTTTTGGAAAAAGCAAAATTTTTTTGCTTTTGGAGAAAGAAGGGAGAGTGTGAGGGCCTATATGATATGTATCTTGTTATTTTTTTTATAAATATATTTAATCTTATATTTTATAAATATATATACACATTAATTATTTATTAATTATATTATCTTATGTATTATTAATTATGTTGGTAAAAAACATATTATTAACAATTTTATTCCTTCAAATTAAAATATATCATAAAATATATTTTTTCTGTAATTATCATATTAACTTATGTCTTTTTTTTAGTAATTTGTATATATAAAAAGTGCTTCTGATAACAACTATCCAAACACTCTCACTTCTCAGAATCACTTTTTTACAAAATCTATTCTTCACAGAATCTATTTTCCCCAGAATCTATTCTCCAAAATCACTTTTCCAAACCACGGTTTGGTTTCATCCAAACACACCCTTATTGTAGAACGAGAAGCAATTTCCTAATAACACGAATTCAGTGTATTTAAGCGTAATAACACCAATTCAGTGTATTTAAGCCTTATATTTAACCTTGTCTGTGAAAGGAGACCAATTCAATGTATTTAAGCCTTATATTTAGGACATGTTTGGATCAACGTTTTCAACGGAAAACGTGCATTGGAATGGCGCAAACTAACGTTACTAGCAGATAAATGCTCAAACTAATGTTTGGATGAGCATTTTTGCAAATGAACTTTTGGGTAAAAGGATGCCTAATGCTGAAGCTAATTTTTTGAGCTTTTGCCGTCACAAACGTGGAGAGAGAAAAGATGGTAATGGAAAAAGACAAAATTACCCCTAACAAACCCAATAATTTGATACTTCATATTTTTAATATAAGAATTAGATAACTAATTTGAATATATTAATAAAATTAAGTAAGTTACTTATTTATAATAAATTGATGTTATCTTGTCTAAAATATTTTTATTAATCATGTGTATTAAAACTACCCATTAATAAAAATTTCTTAATATGTATAATCATTACAGAGATTACTTGAGAACAAAATAAATCATAATTTTATAATTTCACAAATAAACTATTTTTATTTTATCATAATAATTTTAGGTATTTTTTTTAACAATTATCATATTAAAAACATAAAATATCAAACATTACTATTCAATAAAGTCCATGCCCTTTTTAGTCATTTTACAACTAAACTCACTTTTCTATTAATCATCCAAACAACTTTTAACATTTTCAACTGACTTTTTAAAAGCACCTATCCAAACATATCTTAACTGACTTTTACTTTAAGTTCAGTTACAAAAGTCAGTTGGGTTAGAAGTCAGTTTTACTCAACGTTAATCCAAACATACCCTTAACCTTGTTTGTGAAAGGAGGGGGTGTTTGGTAGAAAAAATCATAATTTTAAAAGTGTTTTTACGTGTCCGAAGTAAATATGTGAAGGATTTTAACTTGACCTGTGAAAAGGTGTTTTTTAAAAATAATTTTATAATCCAAACACCCTCAGAAGTAAATTCGGATAAGCAAGTTCACTTTAACATGTCGATTTTGTTTTCGGTGGCAAACTCACTTCATCAGACAAATAGCTAACAGGTCGTCGTCTGAATTGCCTCCACCATTGTTCTCTTTTTTTTCCCCCTTTCTAACCTCTACTGTTGTTACTTTTTATTTTAACAATTAGTTGATTAATTTAAGTAAATTAAAAAAAATTGTTAAGTTTATACTCTTCTGGTTTAAGGATCTTATATTTAGGATCGGAAGAGTAATAAATAAGTGTTTGTCCTTGTTAATTATATATATTAGATATAACTACCATTTGATAGTTATTAAGTTGTGTAATTATTATAAGGATTATTTTAAAAAAAATAGATAAATATAAAAAATAGAGTGAATTGAGATCTTATATTTAAGACCATAGTTTGATTTTCAATTTAGTCTTACTCCAATTTATTTTGTTTTTTATATTTATCTTTTTTTAAGATAGTTTTTGTAATAATATTAGTTCTAACTAATACATTTGATAAATAAAAATATTTTAGAAAAGATAATATTTATTTATTACGAATAATTAATTTAACTAATTTTTAAATTTTTTAAAATTAGTTAACTAGTTTTTATACTACCTCCGGTGCTTATTATAAGATCTTGTTTGACTTTTATTTTGATCTTAAATATATGACTCCAATCCATTTTGTCTCTGATATTTATACATTTTTTTCAAAATAATCTTTTCAATAATGATATTTCTAGCCAACATATTTGATTAGCAAAGATATTTTAGGAAAGACAACACTTATTTATCATAAATAACTATTTTAACTTATTTTTTTAATCTCTTTAAATTAGTTAATTAGCTCCTATAATATAATTAAGATAGGAGGTAGTATTAATTAGGGGGTGGTAATAAGGAAAGGTGGTTGAAAGAGTTCCAGCCGAAAATATATTAATATATTAAATAAACGAAAGCGGTGCCTCTGTTCCTCAAAACTAAACACTCTGAAGCTTCCAAGTTGGAGCATCTCGCAGCTTAATGGTGAGATGTAGTTGAATATTGGATCTCAGCAGCTTCAAATCTTGCGTCCTTGTCTTGATTTCTGTTTGGGTATATTTGGGTGATTTGATTTGTGCTTCTTACTTTATATGAGTTGCTTACTGACAGGGAACCGAGGAAAAAATGTGGACTTTTACGGCTAGCATTTCTCATGGCAAAGAACATAGATTCGGTCTATTCATGTTGAGAGTCACCCCTAACGTTTTTAGGGAAGTTGGCAGACCATAACAAATTCTGATTTTTCTGCTTGGAAAGAATTCTTATTGCCTGAATCTATGACAATCATTATTCTGTCATGCTATAAGTATTTTTTTCAAAGAAGTGAAGAGGACATCAGAGGAAAACAAAGCTATTCTCGTAGAACGATGAAAATAGAACTTACTTGCTGTTGAATTTTACGACATTAGGTTTGGTAACTCAACTAGAATGGCCTTGCACTATTCCGATGGATATACTTTTCTAAATTTGTTTGTCAAAGTAAGTCACTTAAGTTCTGTATGCTGGCTCTTGCATTTTTCCATCTGAATATGTTATCCATGTTCTGTGCCTTGTTATGATGGTATAGGGGTCCTCCAGGTCAGCTGTCCAGCAAGTTCTGGAATATAGACTAGTCCCTTCCCCCAATCACGTGTAGCAAAGTGGATCAGAAGGAAAAAGAGATTATTCAGAACGATTTATCCCGGTCACTGGATCTACTGATTGGTTCACATGATTTAATCTCTATATATAATTATTCTTCATTCGTTCTTTATAGATTACGTTACTTATGTGGATCTAGTAGCTAAAGTGCAATAGAATTTCTACATCTGCAGAAACGGCTACATTTAGTTCAAGGTTTGCTGAACATGAAAAAGTGGTATGGAGGCTTGTTGATCATTGCTCTGGGTATGATGTTGATTCTCCTATACAGTCCGTTTAGAATGCAGCCACAGAAATCAGTAAAACAGTCGGCCTACAGTTTCTTTAATAATCATGCACCAACGGATTCTACTGTAAGAAACAATCTTGCTATAAATTCTTCAAATGTGGCAGTAAAAGAAACACCAAAGCCAACCAAAAGGCCACATTCTATACATGTTCAAGGGCTTGATGATCTTTGTAACATGAAAAACTTTTTTGAAGGAGAGTTGAAAGCAATGCTTTTGTGGACTCCTTTGTGTTCCCTGCTGTCAAGGTCAGATGCTTTACCTGAAACAGCTCAAGGAGTTAAAGAGGCTTCTGTAGCATGGAAAGAGTTGTTGTCCACGATTGAGAAGCAGAAAGCCTCTAGGATTAGCGAGATAGATAACCCCGAAAATCAGAACTGCCCATTGACTGTAACCACACTCGGCAAAAAGGTGGCAAGCAGTGGAATCATTCTTGAGCTTCCTTGTGGTCTAGTCGTAGATTCATCTATTACACTAATTGGCATTCCTGTTGGGCAAAATGGAAGCTTCCACATTGACCTCTTGGGCCAACAGATAGAAGAGGATCCAAATCCTCCTATAATTTTGCATTACAATGTGAGTCTCCCTGGAGAAAATTTGACTGAGGATCCATTTATAGTTCAAAATACATGGACTAATGAACATGGGTGGGGAAAAGAGGAAAAGTGTCCAGCTCATGGTTCTACTAACATCCAAGAAGGTATGCTTGTGTTTTTTTTTTTTTTTTTAATGAAGAGATTTCAATTTATGTAGTGTGACTAATGGTGGACCTTGTATGTATTAAACCATATTTTGCATCCAACGAGCATATTCTGCATCCAAAGAACTGTGGTGGGTTCAAAGTGCTGTTAACTAACAATGCATTCTTTTTCAGGTAGAGAATAAACATTTTAGCCTCATAAAGTATGACAGGTTCCAATAATATTTTCAGACATACATTCCCCCTATATTATGTTTGTTTGAAGTTACAAGCACATTTGCTCCTTAATTGGGCTAATAGCTGTAATAGCACCAACCTGCTTCATAAATAACAGAATAAGTTGAAAACAAACTTTTCTACCTTTTGTTATCATACCTAATAGTGTATATTTTCAAGAACTAATCATCACTGTACGTGATGCAGTTGATGGACTTGTGCTCTGCAATGTACAAGTTACCAGAAGCAGCAACGAAGAGAATCCAAGTGTGGGCAAACCTATTAGTGATAGAACTGCTAACTTTTCAGGGGAGAGTGCACATAGAACTGCTAATTTCCCTTTCACTGAAGGAAACCCTTTCACTGCCACATTGTGGGTCGGTTCAGAGGGATTCCATATGACAGTGAATGGAAGGCACGAAACATCGTTTGCGTTTAGGGAGGTAAGGTATGGAACAAGAAACATTTCTAATTTTTTCAGTTAAAATCATAGAATGGCCACTTCCAACTTTGTATGGTTTTTGTGGATGCAGAAACTTGAACCATGGTTAGTTAACAGTGTCAAAGTAGGTGGCAATCTAAGTCTCTTATCTGCACTGGCAAAAGGCTTACCTACTACTGAAGATAATGATATTGTTATTGACATTGACAAACTTAAAGCTCCTTCTATCCCCAGAAAAAGGCTTGTTTTGCTAATTGGGGTATTCTCCACGGGAAATAACTTTGAAAGAAGAATGGCCCTCAGGAGGTCTTGGATGCAATATCAGGCTGTACGTTCTGGGGAGGTAGCTGTCCGATTTTTCATTGGGCTTGTAAGTGATCAAATGCAGACTTGGTACAGTAAATATTTATGCTGACATATTTCCTGATATAGCTTATGTTTTAACTTTTTCCTTGAAGAGTCTTGTCGAAGCTCAAATCCTTCTTTCTTAGTGGTCTTTGCTCCCTACTGTCATTGAAAGAAATCAAATTGAATTTTGCTTTGCTATATATAGAATTCGTGAAGATTTTCATATACAATCATTCATCTACGGTGTTTTCTGCATATCTCTAGCTGATTTAATTTGGAAGGGATGACTCATGCAATTCATGATCCCTCTCTTCTCCACCTGTGAGGTGGATAGCTGGGAGAGGATTGCAAATGGTGTCTTTCTTCAAATATATACTGACGAATGAAATTACATTAAGTGGAAGGAGTATGCGCAGAGGTTGGGAGATATCTGTAATATTTGAACTCAAGAACTGCATCATTTACTAAGTCAGATCATATTGTTTATGTTTTACAACCAAAAAGTCTGTGTAGACTGCAAGCAATATTCTCTCACCTGGCAAGTGCGCAAGGGAGAGCTCTCAACCCAGTAATCTTCATTGTCATTGCACCTTTTTTTTGCCCTGTTAACTGTGAGTGACTTTGATATTTTATTTGATTTCAGCACAAGAACCATATAGCTAACGTTGAGCTGTGGAAAGAAGCACAAGCTTTTGGAGACATCCAGTTTTTGCCGTTTGTTGATTATTATGGTTTGATCACCTTCAAAACTATTGCAATATGCATTTTAGGGGTAAGGGCATCAAAATTTTATGCAATGAAATGTCTACGTAAACATATAAAGAAACAAGAAGGGAGCACAGCCTGATGGGGATAAGGGGCGAGGAAATAATATCCAAATCTTTTAGTGACTGAAATCCATTTCTGCCAGAGTTTCAATTTTTTATTAATCTTGTCCACGATTTCTTTTTTCATGTTCACATTCTTTTCTTTTTTTTCTTTTTTTCTTCTTTTTGGTTGAATCAAAATTCATGTTCACATTCTTGTAAATGTGTTTTAGGAGAAATCTACTCTGGGATTAACCCTTCCAAAAAAATGTGATTAATGAATTTGTGAACACAGATGTGATTTGGCCTTCAAAACCGTAGGTTGCCTGCTTTTACTCATCTTGCCCTATGCCTCTAAATCTTATATATCTGACAGCTGGAGAATGGTTTTGATCTTTATCCTATTACATCATAGGTTACCACTATTTTAGACCATATCAACATCACAGGCTGCATATGCAATTTTGTGTCAGTGTGGTCATGCCAGACGTTGTTTTTCCTCTGCAAGTCATGTATATACTCCCTTTGGTTCTAAATGTAAGACTTATTTTATAGTGTAAATTACACTACAAAATAAGTCTTACATTTAGAACTGGAAAATTATTATATTTCATCTCCTTTACTTTTCTGGTCAAAAAAAAAAAAAATCTCCTTTACTTTCATACCGATTAATCAATATGATCTGTTACTAAATTTGCAGACGAAAATCATACCTGCTAAGTACATTATGAAAACGGATGATGATGCTTTTGTTAGGATTGATGAAGTGGTTTCTAACCTTAAAAGAAAGCCATCTGATGGTCTCTTGTATGGTCTTATATCTTTCAAATCGTCGCCTCACAGGGATCAAGATGGCAAATGGTACATCAGTGAGGAGGTGTAAATCTTTCTGAAATGCTTAAAGTAAAACTACACAACTTTATCCCTGCCACAAATTCAGTGTTTTCTTTTTGATTAGGAATGGCCACATGATTCATACCCTCCATGGGCACATGGTCCCGGTTATGTCATCTCTCGAGACATAGCAAAATTCATTGTTCATGGCCATGAACAAAGAACGCTGAAGGTAAGAATTTCTTCTTCCTGTTTATTGTGTTTTAATGATCATTTCACGAATTGTGTGAAGTGTAAACTTCACCTAAATATTGAGATTCTGAAAAGCATTGTAGGTTTTGCCTTCAAAATTGTCTTCAAAAAAAGTATGTTAACGAAGATGGGTGGTCCGGCTTAACCTGAAGTCAAGTCGCCGTAAAGTTCTCAAATGTCACTAAAAATACAACGTATTCTTTAGAGTAATTACAACACCGTAGTTTCCTGGTGATGTTTATCTGCTGCTTAATGTGAGAACTATATCAAAGACAGAATATATGATATTCAAACTTGGGGAAATCAATTTAGACAGGATTTATGTTTTGATGACAAGAATATCGCTTCGATCTTCATTAGCGTTTCAGCATAACAGAGATATTCAAATCTTACTTTAGTAAGGTTTTCTCATCCTTGTCTGTCCATAATTTTCAATGCTCAGCTCTTCAAACTGGAAGATGTTGCCATGGGGATATGGATCGAAGAGTTCAAGAAGAGTGGTAGAGAAGTGCACTACGAAACTGATGAGAGGTTTCACAATGTTGGATGTGAATCAAATTATATACTTGCCCATTACCAAAATCCAAGGATGGTGTTATGCCTTTGGGAGAAGCTGCTGAAAGAACACCAGCCAGCATGCTGCGAGTAACTTTCCTGAGCTATGTATGTTAGCTATCAGATGTCAAATTAATTATTTGATTTATTCATTCATCTTCACTGTTTCGCTCAATATTTGGTTGAAATTGATTGCCCGTGAAATGTCAATATGTTTGCTTGAACTAAATTGTAGAATAAATTTTTTTATGTGGCTTCGTGGCCTTCTGGGTGTGGGCATTGAAGGTTCTTTTTTTCATGCCTCTTGTCAGAATGTTGAAGAAACAGACTTTTAATGTAAAAATAGTATAACAAACTTTTAATACGATTGAATATTAGCTTATATATAACTAACGAGTCGTTTTTTCGGTCAGATTTTCTTTATGAGGGGATAAATTTTGAGCTTTCAATCAGACCTTTTACATTGGTTCTGTGTTATCTCCCGTGTTTAATATAAGAGTTAGATAATTAATTTGATGAAATTTAGAAAATTAGTTAAGTTAAATTTGTAACAAATGCGTGTTGATTTTTTTACCCTACCATCTCTAATCATGTGTATTGAAAATACTTCTTAATGGGAACTACTTACTATCAAAAGAGATATTAAAAAAAAAAACAATTAAATCCAACCTTCAAAATAGTTTTTATATCAAAAACAGTGGGTAGCATGAGCTACCTTTTTGGCTTAGTGCCTCCTTGGTTTACACTTCATGAAATAAAACTCTTTTCAAGTAAAACTACTTGAACAAAGACAATTCAACAAGTCTCAACTTTTTGAAAGATGAAGAATTCAGCAGGACTTATGGCCACTTCTTTTATTTATTTATTTATTTATTTATTTTAATGACATTTGAAGGGCATCCATAAGTGATCTGCATCACTGCATTGGAACAATTTTGGTCATACATGGTACGCAGCTTCTTTTGCGTAAAGCCATACCCTTATCCTCTCACTTTTACTTTTCGTTTTCTTAGTTGAAGGAATAAGAGACATGGATGAGTGGACTAACAGTGGCCAAAAAAATGAGTGGACAACAAACTTGATACGTACTCAGTAAGATAATAGGATTGCTTTGATGGCCCCCAAAAAGAACAACAATAGCATTATTTTCTTTTCAGTCTAAAAAAATTATGAGACTTCCCCTACCGCCATTTTATTTTTAATTATGTCTCTTCCATTCAAATGGTGTTTAGGAAATGGAAAGAATCCAAATATATCTAGAAATTTTAAAGAAGGCTTAATACTTCTTCTTTTCTTTTTATAATCTTCAAATAACTAATTCACGGATAACAAATAATTGATTAAAATTAGTTAAAAATAAAAAGTAAGTTAGAGATGTACTTTTGTTTTCAAGTATACCTTTATAATAAATGAAAAAAATGATGAAACAGAACATGTGTAAGAATAGGACAAAAGAGAAATAATTAAGGGCAATATTAGAAGAAAAAATGGTTTGAATGTTACGACAAACCCAAATTAAAACTTATAAAATAAATCACACTTCTTCCTAAATTTAAAATTCATAAATAAGACTGGAGAGAGTATAATTTTTAATCCTTCAAGTTTGTCTTCATTTTAGTTTTGATCTTTTAAGTTTCAAATCATAAAGTTTCATTCCTCAGATTTTTTTTCATTTAAAACATTGATTATTATAACTCACTAAAAACGTAGACCAAAAGTTCAAAACTTATTGTTTGAAATTTGAGAGACCAAAAATAAAATAAAGACTAATTTAAGGGATCAAAATTAAAATAAGAAAAAATTTAAGGGAGCAAATATCATATTATCCCTTTAAAGAATTTAAAAAGTTGTGATTGTAATGTTCAAATGAAAATTTATTTAGCTGGTCAAAAAAAAAAATTCATTTATATTGTTTTAAAATAAGCATCTGTAATTTAAAAACTTCCACCTGTGAGTTTTCCACTTTTCCCCCTCCCACATAACTAGTGGCGGTCGATTTCGAGGCTTTCAGATCCAGTCGAAGGCCACCAACAATAAAGTTATTAAACCAACAACACTGGGCCACGTGTTAACGCATTCGGATTATGACTAAGCCTAGCACTAATGACACTATTCAGTTATTTTGTGACTTTTTTAATTAAAAACAAACTACTCTTCTGGTCCTTAATATAAGACCTAACTAACTAACATGAGTAGATTAAAGATATTAGCTAAATTAGTTAATAAGCACCTTTATTAATTTCCTTTCATATCTCCTATTTGATTATTGTTAGAGGAATATCAATAAGATTAATTTCAAAAATAAGTCTTATATATAAAAGATCAACATTAACTCCCCAATTTACAAGTAACGCTTCTAGCATGATTTTTTAAGGACCAGAGGAGTATTTTTTTATTATGACATATTTAAGTATTTCTAGTCCATTTACAAGTAAAGCTTCTAGCATGATTTTTTTTTTTAATATCTTATTACCTGTTGTATTGATTAACATAATTTCAAAACTAATCAATATGACAGTCCGACAAGTAAGCAACTTTTTAGAAACATTTGTTAACAAATGCTAGATAAACGTAATCCATTCAAGTTGTTTAACCAATGCTTGTTTCCCTTGAAAAAAAAATGTCTGTCACTATGAAAATTTTACATCTGACTCATTCAATCCACTTAACCTAAATTAGTCAAAATTTAATATTCTTTGCAGAAATTAATTGGCATATTAAAAAAAAATATGTAAGTGCTTTTACTCACTGAGGGGATCATACCAGATATAATTTGATATTTTTTGCCAGCCATATATAATTTAATTTAAAGAATGAATGAAACGCTTTGTTTGTGCATACCAATTTTCTTAAAATACTACAAGATAGATTAATGATTAACACATGGAATAAATGTAACATGTGGGAGGGTAATAAAAAAATTAATAGAATGTGGTATTGTTCATTGAACCAAGCCCCAGCTACACATAAAACAACATGAGAACACGGGAAATGATTCCTTGTGCCAATTTATGACTTGATTAGGACCTGCAGGCTGCCAAATTACCATTTGCTTGACTGTTTATTTCATCTTTAGGACCAAAAAATTGGTAACAAAATTTCCTCCTTTTTCTTCCACCTTTGGAAATTACTCATTTGGGCTTTAAATTTTGTTTTATATTACCTTCCGTTCTTAATATAAAAGTTAGTTATCTAATCTAAGTCGGTTAAAAAAACTAGTTAAGTTAGTTATCTGTAATAAATAAGTGTTATCTTTTTTAAAATACCCTTGTTAATCAAGTATGTTAACTAGGACTCCGTTATTACAATGACTATTTTGAAAATAAATAAATAAATATGAGAAATAAAGTGAATTAAAATTTATAATTAATACTAACTAGATTCTAATTATAAGACCTCATTTATAGTCTACAAATAAGATCTTATAAATAGTTATAAATAGGGATGGAGATAGTATTAAAATATAAGTCAAGCCAACTTTTTATATTGAGTGCTAGAGTATTAAAAAAATGGTTGACCACGAAGCTTAATTGAGTGTTTTATAGGAATCAGTTTGACTTTTCTTCGAAGCCATTTCCTCTCGAAATAATGCAATTTGCATTCCTTACACTAATGATTACACACCAGTTCTAAATTAAATATTCTTATCCATTTAAGATGGTTAATTCCAACCATTTCCGACTATTGTAGGATTGATTTTTTTTTTTGGGCCAGTGAATTAAGCTCTTCTCATATAATAAGAACATATTAGATATACTGATAAAAAAACAAATAGATAAATTCAAGATATTAAACATCATTCATGCTTTAGTTTTTCTTTTTGGTAAAAGCGGTAAATAAACATGTGATAATAATTAAGAAAAATAACAAAAAAAGAAGTTGAAAAATTTGTAAATACCAAATAAAAAATGCCAACAAAATTTTTTGTCATTTGCAAATTCAATATTAACACCAAATAAAGTGTTTTTATCAAACATGTTTTGGGATTTAGTAATTTTCAGTTTTTTTTTTTGTCATTCTCCCTAATAATTACTTCCTCCTGTGCTATTTAGAAACTTCAAATCTCAAGGACGATGTGATTCATTTTATAAGTTTTAATTTAAATTTGTCTAAATATTCAATACATTTTTAATTTTGTCATTAATTATTTATTTTCTTTTTTATCATACTATCTTATCATATTTTTCTTTACACTCTTGTATCTTTTTTTTATTTATTATAAAAGCATATTTGAAAATGAAACTATGTTTTAAGATATTTATTATTTTTAACTAATTATTTATTTTATGAATTAGTTATTTAAAATTTATAATAGGCATATAAGAAAGCAAAATATAACATAATGTAGATAAACATAAAAAGCTGAAAAAGGTTCCTCTTTATCGCATAGACAAGCATCACCAACTCCTCCTAGGCGCACTTCCCTCAATCACAAGCATACGAGTGGATAACAATTGATATAAAAAGCGCCATTTTAATATTTTATCTACAGTTATTATATTAAAGTTAAATATTTGTGCTTTAAAAAAGGAAAGAAATATTTTCATAATAATTACTTGAATAATACGCAAACTCAACAATCCTACTCCTTCAAGGAAAAGGTGACTGATTCCTACTCGGATTCTGCCTGCATACGATAACGCTGCGTCACGAGCCTTGTCACAAACTATATTTACGATGTAAATTACAAAATAATATTAACAGAAAAATAAAAATAATTAATAATACGAATAAAAAGCACTAATGAACAATATTCTGGAGCTTTATGGTTGGGTAAAGAGGAAAGTCTTGAGATATTTTTATATTTCAAGGGTATTTTTGGCATTTCGTTAACACAGTGAGTCCCTTACCCATTCAATAAGCGCGTCGAAGTCAGCCTATATATTAGCATATAACGCTTTTCGTAAGGTTCATAGGAGTTGAGCCATATAGAGAGAGAAAGAGAGCCGCGGAGAAGAGAACCCTAATTCGCTTACTGTTATCGTTGATTTTGTCGAATCGATATCGGATTGTCACCCCA